TGCTCTACCTACTCCAAAGGAGGAAAAGAGCCCCGGGGTGGAGCAGAGACGACGGGCTCCATCTGGCGCCTGGGCAGCCAATGAAAAGAATAGAGAAGTGTGCGAGCCAGGAAGAAGGGGAACATCATGAAAAGCTCATTGGATTTGTCGTCCAGTTCATTGGCACTGACTGCAAGGTGGCTAACGAGGCAGGTGGCTGAACAGGGAGGAAAAGTAGTCTCTGCAGCATCAACTCTTTACAAAAAAAGGTGTCTTTTTTCTCTTTGATGCTGCAAAAGAAAAGAAAAATAGCAGGGAACTGGAACTGGGTATCTGGTAAACAATTAGGGCTCCTGTGCTGTGCCTGTGCTCGTTCGCTCCTTAAAAATGACTACCCTGAAGCTACTCCTCCCCATGGGGAGACAGTATGTGCTCTGTGCGCCACGCTCCTGAAGCATTATGGGAGAGGAAATGATGGTAAGCAGAGAACCATCTGCTTTGCCACTTGCCATGTCTGCCTTTGCCAATACCACCTCCTTCCCTCTATTTCTTAGGTGGGGAGTGGAGTGGATGGATGCTGTCCATGCACACGCATGTACACATGCATGTACGCACACACACACACACACACACACACACACACACACACACACACACACACACACACTGAAGGGTTCCTCCAACATAAAATTGCCAGATGTGGGAAAACAGGATGTAACTGTGGAGGAATCTCACTTTTTATTACACTTAAGACTCCCCTCCTGAATCACTCATCTGTTTTCTCATGCATAATGAAAGACTTTTTTTTATCAGCAACAGGGTCGCCCCAAATTATTCAACCAAATGTCAGGGGATGTGAAGAGTCTCAACAGACCAAATGTTGAGTATGGACCTTTATAGCTAAATACACCTTTACAGTTTAAACGTTATATCCAGTCTATTCCATCATATAAATGTAGTTCAGTCAGGATCACTTTGTCAAAATTTTGCTTTATTGTGCAAAGTTAAATTTGGCGGCGTAGCTCTATTCTGGGTCCCTGCCCTTCCACGCGCTTGCATGGAAGCCCCCTCCTGCCCTTCACGAGCTACCATGAAAAGGTGATAGCAGGGAGCACACGCAAGGTTCTGTCCCGGGCACTCCGTTCTCCACGCAAGCATGCGTGACAGGCCAGTTGCAGGAAGAGCACCTTGAAGAGCAGCGATGAACAGACCCCTGGACTTCTATTCATGTAATACACAGTACCCTCTCTGGGGTTAATAAAGTATTTTTATCTCTGAATTTCACTAACAGACTTGCATGCTTAATCTCAAAATCTGCACTGCACAAAACTAAACAAAATATTAAAATATCTATGACGTCATGTAGCCTTTCATACAACGACTAACAGTTGATTTTTAAAGTAATGTCTTCCCCAAAGAAATGTTGGTCATAAGACTGCTGTTTTTAAAGAATCATAACTGTGATCATCATCACAAATGGACGATTGTGTGTAAGTTATATACACTATATGCATGTATGTATCAGTAAAGTTTATCTAATAATGTGTTGCCCCATCCTTGTCTTGCCTTTCTTCTTCGTTCTGTTGATTGGCACATTTTGTCTCCAGCTGCAGGCAGAGGACTATGTATGTCCTGCATACAGCATACCAACAATACTGTAACAAAGAAGCTTCCTAACAATAGCAAAAAGGATGGCAATTTTAGAGCGTCTGTTTACACCTGCATTAATGTTTGGTTCTGAATTACATAAAACTGTCTAAACTAAAGGGGGGAGTTCACCTCAATAAAAATAATTTATAACCTTTTCCTTTTCTCTACCTGGAGCCTTTGTGGGTAATACAGTTACTATTGACAAGTACCTCCTGTGATCCCATTTAAAAAATACCTCTAAATTATTGAGTCAACAGACAGTTGAAAATGTCTTGTAATGATTGTGTTTGCTGCTCTAATTGAATAAAGCTCCTCTATAAAGTACTAACTTTTCTATTTGCCATTCTTAACCTCCTAGTTAAAGCTCCTGTGGGGAGTTTTTCGAGTTTTTTGACATTAATGAAAACGACTATATAAAATTTTGTGTTGATGCCTTTCGATGATAAACTCAAACAAACAAAACCATCAGCCACAACAGCGGTCACTTTTAGAAAGAGGTCTGGCTGCAGACCTCCACTGAGAGGACTGGAGGTGACGTTCCCTCTCATGCGCTCCAGTTTGTTATTGCTGCGAAGATAGTTGAGAGAAAGCAGGTGAGTTGAAGTCAAGTGACAACTTTTCATCATTTTGGGAGCAGTCTTTATTCACTTGAAAGTTGTATTTTCCAATATATGCATTGCAATATTATATTAATTGGGTGGAAAGGACTTTTGGACCTTTGGGTGTTTTTTAGTGCTGTTATTGCAGTTAGGGTAATGAGAGCAAGCGCTAAGAAGGCTAACTTTCGGATTAACCATGGATGTATTGTTTATTTGTATCTATGGGATAAGCTTGACATGAGAAGGCTTTCACTGTTGTTGGTATTTTGACATGTATGAAAATACCCAAAGTGATCACTTCAACCTGACAATGCAAGTATGAAAAATATGGAAATAAATTTGATTAAGTTTGCCTTGTGTCTGTTTTCTATTTTTTTTTTTTCCTGTTACAGAGGTTATTTGCTACCTGGCCCACATAACAACGTACTCACTAACTCACTTTAAACATACAAAGCTAAGTTGATTTAAAATCAACAACCCTCACCCTCCTTTGGAAATTACAGCTGGTTCCCATCCCAGGTAAGAAAATAGTACAAGCAATATTAAGCAATTATATGAGCAGAATGATGTATGAATTGCAAACACATATAAGGTATACCAATATAAAAGATTTGAGTAAATCAATATGTCAATGAGTCCAGGGGTCCGTTTCACGAAGCAGGTTTAGTGGAAACTCCGAGTTTGTTAACCCTGAAATCAGGGAAACTCTGAGTTTTCCGTTTCACAAAGGAGGGTTAGTTAAACCAGGGAGAGAGGGGTAACTCTAACCTGTTTCACAAAGAGAGGTAACTCAACCTCGCGGTCAGTTACCACAGTCAACTGTCAACTAAGTATTAAGTGGCAGTTTGATCCCTTCAAAAATGCTCTTTTCACACTCAAAACTGAATTTTACTCTCTTATGATGTTCCGTTAAATGATTAGGAATATTAAACTAACACAAAAACGGGTGGTGGTCCAGCAGCCCCACCTTTAACGGAGGCAGAGGAGCTGCCCCCCACCCCCGTTCGACGATCGCGGCCGGTCCGATCGCAAATCCCCCCCTACAGACACACACACACACACACACACACGCACACCAGTCCGACGATCGCTGCTACGAGGTGGGGGTTTCGATCGTCGGGGGGGGGGGCAGCTCCTCTGCCTCCGTTAAAGGTGGGGCTGCTGGGCCACCACCCGTTTTTCTGGCATCTGCCCTCTTTCTGTTTGCTTAGTGAAAGTCTTATATTGAGTGTAGTGTGTGTTAGTTTAATATATGTACATATACATACTGAGAGTTAGTTTAATATTCCTAATCATTTAACGGAACATCTTAAGAGAGTAAAATTCATTTTTGAGTGTGAAAAGAGCATTTTCTAAGGGATCAAACTGCCACTTAATACTTACTTCACAATGTAAAACATGATCAAAATGATTCAAGCAGTTTCCCTGCAACAGTCTGTCATTGTGATTGCACGAGACTAGATTTAAAGTTACGCATTGACGCGAGCAGCGATTTCCTCCCAAGCCCTCTCCCTCTCCTTTGCAGCTGCTGCTGTATTGCACTTTCTTTTACAAACGTGCTGTAATTCGCTGTTGGCTTGCTGCTGCCCCCTCCTTCTCCCTGTTTCCATTGGTTGATCATTGAATCTGCGCTCCACAGATGCTGGCTGTTTATGTCTGGCGTGCACGTGCTTAACTCCAGGTCAAACTACTCGGAGTTGTTAAAACCGTCTCAAATCAGGTATTGTGAAACCGGAAACTCAGAGTTTCCTAACTCAGAGTAGATCAACTCAGAGTTAAGGATTTAACTCAGAGTTTGTTGAACCACCTACGTGAAACGGACCCCAAAAGTGCAGGAGGCCACAGTTTCAATGATAAATGGTATAAAAGCAAAGAACAGTTTGCAGTTGGAGTGTAGATACATTATGCCATCACACATATCAAGGTGTTTTAACAGACATTTGTTGTTTTAAATGAATTTGTAGTGCAAACATACAGATGTCTGATTTGCTGATCAAATCAAAATACAAGTAAAGTAATGTTTTAAGTAATGTTTTATGGTGATCATAACAATAGTTTGTATTTTTTTATCTGTACAATAACCCTGAAAGTGGTCATCCCGTTTTGTATTGTCTCTTTGTTAAACACATGGAAACCAAAAAAAGTCATATTAACATTATATACATTAAGTACGTACTTCCCGGTTTAATAACTTTTAATGTGAAAGGCTATGAGTCAACTTCCAACATAAAAAAAACGTATATTATATATATATATATATATATATATATATATATATATATATATATATATATATACAGTATATATATATATATAAATAGAGCAAGCATGAGCAAGAGAGCGAGCAGTGAGTCCCTACTCCTTGAGAAGACTGAGGTGCTTCACGAGGCAAATAAAACAATAACCATACTCAAACTATGTATTCAAAAACTGTCCGAAGAGCTCAAATCAAAATCCACTCTACTCACAACTCCCTCCAAGCAACCCTCAAAGACACACTACCCTGGGAGCCTCACAGCCCGAAGGCCTCATCCAGACCGCCATCCACCACAACACCCAAACAAGACTTAACCTGGACCGAAGTAATCACCCGAGGTAGGAAAACCGCCAACACCGTCCCCTGAAACCCCGGCCGGGCCTACCATAAGCTCCACGCCGAGCAATCCACTGCCCCGGTCCTAGGTCCTCGTTGGCGACAGGACAAATCCCTCCAGCAATGCCTCTACAGTCCAGTTGTCCCTCTCGAACCGCTGGAGGCCCTTGAGCATTGACATGGCGGCGTCCTCCACAGCGACTGCCGGAGCTCTCATGGCTCCTACACTGCCACCCGGCAAAGCCCCCAGGCCCTCTTCCTCTAGTACCTTTGCTGTGTCCCAGCTCGAGGATCGGGCCACCTCCGCCCTTCTGGCGACCAGCTCACGGGTGTCACCGTACGTGGAGGGTGGAGGGATTCCCGCGCAGCCTGGCACTGGAGCGGCCTGGCAATGGCGTCCGTCAGTGCCTGGTGGAGCGCAGTGTCCCTGGATCGAAATGGCAGACCATCCCCGCTACAGCTGCCATCCACTGCACCGCCAAGTCCTCGCAGCCCGGCCACCTGCCCTACCCCGGTTACAGGAGCCATACAACCCCCGCCGCTGCCACCACCCCTACAACAGACCGTCGGCTGACCCTTCCGGCCACACTCCAGCAAGGACCCCCCCACCTACGCCGCTGTTTGCCCCCACCACCTTGATCATCGCTGACAGTATTGCATGAGGTATCAGTTTTTTCAAAGCCATCACTCACTTTTTTCCCGGCGCAACTGTCGCCAACATCACGGCAAAACTCCCCAGTTTCTCCAGTCACTTTCTCCCTCCATCCACCGTATCATTGTTCACGCACCAACGACACGGCTCGCCAACAGTCCGAACTGACCAAAAGTGACTTCAGAACTCTTCTCCACATCCTTCAGTGCAGTGGCAAATCTGTTTTTATAAGTGGTCCGCTACCAACGCTGACACAAAGCATTGATTGATTTAGCCGACTCCTGGCTCTGATCACTCAGCAGTGCCCTCTCCACCTACTTTATTGACAATTTTAATCTGTTTGGAACCGATCGCCATTTATCTCCAATGACGGACTACACCCAAACAATCTGGGCCATTCCATACTTGCCGCTAACATCCAACACTATGTGCACACCAGCTGACTCGCATTGTTCACACCCTCCCTATGAACTTCTTCTTCCTCGCCTACCACCACCCCACCTGGCAACAGCGCCCCCCAGAGTCCCCCTCTGGAACCCTCGCCCTCACCACCCCCATCACAGGGATATAGCACCATCCTCGTCCCCTCCCTCCCTCCCCCCTGAGTTACTCCCCATACCTGCATACTGGACACATCGAATTCCTCCTTCCTCCCGACGTCATCATCACAAACATCGTGCAAACCTGTCCCATCTCCGTCCCCTTCCCTGATCCTCACAATCCACCACGCAGCATCACTGACTGAAACTGGCCCTGCTCAACACCCGCTCACTCAACAATAAAAGCTGCATTCTGCACGAATTTATCATGGACAGCAAACTGGACCTCCTCTGTCTCACTGAAACCTGGCACAAACCCCTGGACTTCTTCACACTCAACCAGACCACACACCTCGGCTTCACTTACACTGAAAAAGCTCACCCAGAGGGGCTGGGAGGAGGCGTTGCTGCTGTTTACAAAAAGGACATTAAAGCTACCCCCATCTTCCCCTGCGCTATCCTTTGAGCACATCGTTTTCAAACTGTCTGGTCCCACTCCCCTGGTCACTGCTGTCATCCACTGCACCCCCAAAGCCACACCCCTCCTTTCTCTTGGACCCCGCTGACTTCCTGACCCACCTATTTGCCATCTCTCCCTCTGTTCTCCTCCTAGGCAACCTCAATCTTCACATTGACGACCCAACCTCCACACCTCCACAACTTCACTCAACACGTTAACTTCCCCACCCACGGCCACATCCTGGATCTCATTTGCTCTACTGGTCTCGCACTCCATCATCTCTCCAGCCTCAACCTCAACATCTCTGACCATCTAGCAAATAACCGTGCGCATTGACATTCCCATCCCCACCCCTAAATAAAAACGGAAAATAACATTCAGAAATCTCAAATCCATCCCCGCCTCTGCTTTCTCAACAGCCCTTGCCAGCAGAATGTCTGCCTCCACTGCCCCCCGTCTGAAAACCCCTCTGAACTTGTCAACTTCTACAACCATACTCTATCCTCCTGCCTTGACCAGCTGGCTCCCATCAGAACCAAATGTGTCACCTTCAAACACTCAGCTCCCTGGTACACCACCGAACTCCGCTGCATGAAAGCTCACGGGCGCCAACTGGAACGGCTCCACAAGAAAACCAATCTCAATGTCCACCGCCAAGCCTAAGCCGACCACCTTCACCGATACAAAGATGCCCTCAACTTAGCCCGGTCCGCCTACCACTCAAACCTCATCAACTCCAGCTCATCTAACCCCAAGGTTCTCTTCTCCACTGTCAACAAACTCCTCAAACCCAATGATAACATCACAGATTCCTTCACAGCCACAAAGTGTAATACCTTGCTGTCATTTTTTCAAGACAAAATCGTCTCCATCCACCATAACCTGGCCTCATCCACATTCCATGACCCCTCCCCACCTTCCCCTCCCCCCTTCTTCACCCAGCCACTGTCTCAGTTCTCACCTCTGTCACCAGCTGAGCTCCCCGCACTCATGGCAAGCATGAAAAACTCCACCTGTACTCTGGATCCCATCCCCTCCAGCTTCATCAAGGACTGCCTCCCTGTTATCTCCCCACTCATCACTGCAATCATCAACTCCTCCCTCACCACTGGTTCCGTCCCCCCATCTCTCAAAATGGCTGCTGTCACCCCCATCCTAAAGCAACCCGGACTCAACCCTGAAACAATGAGCAACTTCCGACCAATCTTCCCCTTCTTTCCTTACAGCAGCCTTTGACACCATCAGCCACTCCATCCTTCTTTCCCGACTAGAATCCTCCCTCTGCATCACTGGCACCGCCCTCTCCTGGTTACAATCCTACCTTACAGACAGACAACAGTTTATCAGCATCAATAACTTCACCTCCTCCACCGCTCCTCTGCTCCATGGCGTCCCCCAAGGCTCAGTACTTGGCCCCCTCCCCTTCATCCTCTACATGCTCCCCCTTGGCAACATCATCCGTCGTTATGGCCTACACTTCCACTGCTACGCTGATTACATCTAACTGTACATCACCACTAAATCCATCACCACCACAACGCATTCCACCCTCACCCACTGCCTGACCGATATAAAATCATGGATGCAAACTAACCTCCTCCAGCTGAACGCCGACAAATCGGAACTCATCATCATCGGCCCCAAGACCTCCATCAACAGCGCCCACAACTTCCACCTCTCCATCAACAACTCCACTCTGCTCCCCTCCCCACACATCCGGAACCTTGGTGTCATCTTCGATAAGAACCTTTCTAGGAACCTCTTGAAGAGAATTTCCCAGTTTGGGATTAATAAAATCTATCTATCTATCTATCTATCTATCTATCTATCTATCTATCTATCTATCTATCTATCTATCTATCTATCTATCTTTCCTGCGAACAACATATCAACCACATCACAAGAACCGCCTATTTAAATATCACTCGCCTCTGCCCATCGCCCCCCCCCCCCGGCTGCAGAAACCCTCATCCACGCATTCATCACTTCACGACTGGACTACTGTAACAGTGTCCTTTATGGCTCATCGTCCAAGCTCATCGAAAAACTCCAGACCATCCAAAACTCTGCCGCCCACTCCAGAGACCACATCACCCCTGTCCTCCAAAATCTCCACTGGCTCCCTGTTAAACACTGTATCACCTTCAAAATTCTTCTTTTCACCCATTAAGCTCTTCACAATCAGGCCCCCTCCTACATCTGCACCCTGCTCCATCGCCACAATCCCCCCCGCAACCTCCACTCCTCCGATGCCAACCTCCTGTCCCCACCCCTCCGAATGACTCATCCAACCTGGGGGGACAGGGCCTTTTCCATTGCCGCATCCTCCCTCTGGAACTCTCTCCCGATCCATATTAGATCCTGCACTGACTTGCCCTCCTTCAAATCCCATCTGAAAACCCACCTTATTAAAACTGCGTTTAACATGTGACTATTTTACTTATTTATATTTATTTATCCTATCAGTGTCATGGTTGGTATTATGTCAGTATCTCACTTAAAAGGCAGTGTAGTCTGCCATGGAAATTTGAATGTTTCTAATCAATGTTCATTATAATATATTCCATCATCTATTGTACCCTGTGATGCAGATCATTATCGAATGGATTATTTGGTAAGTACACATTAATTGTTTTATGTAAGGACTCATGATTCTGAAAAGCCATTGTAAAAAGTCTATCAACAATGTAGCTAGTGCTGAATTATGGAATTATGGACCTTTTTTTTCCACAAATTAAACGACTTAAGATTAGCTACTGTGCTCAAACACAAACAGCAGGATTCAAAACTTCTTTTTCTCTTCTGTGTTAGATTCTGCATACAGGTCACTCTCTATATCACCCACCTCTATGTATAACATCTCTCTTCTCTCCCAATTGTAACAATTGAAAAATACCCAATCAGAACACCTCACTTGACCACACCCATGGGTCTGAAGAACTCATTGACCTAGTCGTCCTAGGTCACCCCTTTGATCAGTGAAACCCAATAACACTGCCGCCTGTTCCATCAGTGATCATCTTGTGAACCCAAGCACTTGTCACTTGCCCTTGAAACAGGTTGGAAGACAGGCAGACTGTTTTGTCTCTCAAACTCTTGAAATGGAATGGGCAGCCAGTGATGACAACTAACAACTAAACTGATTAACGTTAATGGTAAGCTTTTATTTCAAATCTCTCTCTCATCTCTCACTCACTCACTCACTCACTCACACACACACACACGCGCGCACGCGCGCGCGTTACACAATGTAAGCTAGTAGATCTGCTATTTTTAATTATCAGAAAGAAAATAGTAACTAATTGTTTCAAATAATTGTAGTGAAGTAAAAGTACAATATTTGCATCTGAGATTTAGTGAATTGTAAGAATTAACCTACAAGTTACTTCACACCACTGAGCAGTTCTCAAACTGTTTTATGTTAATGACCCCAGAAATTATATGTATTTGGTAGTAGACCTGCATCTCAATATATGTAGTCCAGGGGACCCCCAGAGAAGTAACAATTTGTCAGTAAAAATGTTTGCTTGAAACAATAAACTAATGTTATTCAGATAAAAAAACAAGAAACTTTCAAAGCTACATTATAGTAGGTCAATCTCATAAGTGATGACAACAACTAAACTAAACTGATCAAGGTTGAATGTTAGCCTTTATTGCAAATCTCACTCACTCACTCACTCACACACACACACACACACACACACTCACTCACTCACTCACTCACTCACACATACCCCTCGAATGCTCCTTTAAGCAGATTTATTTTGGTGTATTTTTATCCTGTATAGTAAAGTCAATGGGTCTTCAACTTTTATCAGCTGTCAAAGATTTTGCTAGGGAAACTGAATTTCAGTCTTCGTCAGAAATATTAGTAGACACCTTTACAAACACATTGCTTAAAGTGGAATTCCAGGATAAAACCTTCTTCCCCCTTTCTGTAGTTATGTCAAGTGGAAAAAAAATGGTCCAGGTGTTTTTTTTATGCAAAAAAGCATGAATGGGTTTTCT